TCTTCTATATGCATATGTGGGTAGGGGTTGGGAGATTGTATAAAAATACATTTTTTCTATATAGCCAACACAGCCATTATCAGGTGTTAAATAGTTTATTTATCTGAGGATCATGAGTGTGACATGTGCTATGGTTCAACTGTGGCTTCTTCATCCTGAAATTTCTGTTGGAGTTTAATCTCCATTGTGAGGTATTAAGAAGGTAGAAAGTTAATGGGACTACAGTGCTTATAGGTGGGCTGTGGAGATGAGTAGGATTATAAGGTCACCAGGGTGGAGCCCCCATGATTTAATTGAAAACTGGTAGTTTCTTAAGGAGATGGAAAGAGTGAGAGACAGTGAACACTATGTTCCCTGTCTTTGCTATTTGAAGCCCTGTGTGCCTTGAATGTCTGCCAGCAAGAAGTTCATCATCAAATGCAGCCCCTCGACTTTGAACCTGTAGAACCATGAGTCACCCATTTAGGTTAGGCACATTTAGATGCTGTGCTTCAAACATTTAATAACTAAAGGCATAATTGATGTACCCAGGAAAGGGACAAAATCCAGAAAACTTTTTTCCCATTTACCTCTTGCCAGCTTTCTGTGTCCACCTCCACAAGACAAGGATTCTGAGGATCGTGACTGGTCTCTTCTCATACTGGTGCTTAGATGGTTCCTGAAAAACAGATGCTCCACAGGTGCTTGTTTCTTGAATATATTAGGTTGATCCACTTGGAACTTCCAGATTTATTGGTACAAAATAATGATCAAAATATTGACAGTTTCATGTGAGTCGACCTAATATTTCCACTTTCATTTTGCCTACGTACTGAAAGGTCTTGTTCTCCCTTCCACAGGCTCATGTTTCTGTTCTTAGTTCCTTATGGGAAGGCCCTTTTTACTATCCCATATCTATGGCATTCCTTCCTTGAGCTTCCATGTTAACCACTCCTTCTCATGCTCACCCAGTATTTGCTACCTAGTCTCTCTGTGTCCTAAATTATAGGCATAAGGCTTTTCCTTTTCTTAGACATCTGTCATAATGTTTGATTACATATCTGAGAATAAGTCTCTAATGTGCTGAACATTTCCTTCCTAGAGATAAAGATAACCCCTGTCCAGCCAACACAAAAGAATTATTGAGAGTTAACATGTGAGGGCTTAAAGTGATTAACAGTAAAACTTCCTGGTTGTTCTGCCCACTGGGGTGTCTGAAAATCTTAATTGCTAGTGATAGGCAACCTGTTTCAGGGAGGAATTGACTCTTCTCAGCCAAAAAATTTCAAAAGACCAATGCAGTTGACACAATGAAAAGAAATGTTGATCACATGAGAACACACAGTCAATGAGAGCACAGATGAGTCCTCATGTTAAAGAGACAGAGATCAAGAACTGCCACATGGCACAACCATCCCTTTACAACTGGCAACACAGGCACATAGCACTTGAATGAACTGGAAGAAAACAAGGGCTACAGAAAACAACCTAAGGACCAAGCTGTGAACACAATCATAAACTAAAACGTCCAAAACTGTGAGCTAAAGTAAGTGTTTTCTCTTTGTAAGTTGATTACCTCAGGTATTTATCAAAGTGATAGAAAGCCGAGAAACACACACTATTATGAGACATTCAGTGCAGTGACTGATTCATAATGAGAACCCAACGGTGTTAGTTGTTTCATGAGAATCATCTTTATGGTGTGTGTCGAGAGGTTTCTGGGGGAAAAAATCATACTTTATTAGTAATCACCAGCCCATTTCCTGACATTATTTTGATGCTTGTGAGGTACCTACACAGAACAAGATGTACCTCCTGTGCTTTGAGTTACTCGTTAGAAGTAGGGTTTATCTGTAGGTGGAGATACATCAAGCTACCTGATCATTTTTCACCATTTCAACTCTCCATAAAACACATGGGAAACAACAATTAGAATCACCTCTTTTGAAGTCAACTAAGTTATATTTCTTTCTGCTTCCTCATCTTTTTAAAAAAGACTTTGCTGGGCCCTATAATTAGTGAGCAGAGGGATATGAAAATAGATCCAGGTTCTAGCCTTTGCTCTTTTATCAACTTTCTGAGATTGTGGGTGTGAGGTTTAATTTTATGTGTCAACTTGGGATACCCAGATATCTAGTAAGATGCTCTAGGAATACTGACATTCTATTCCAAGAAAAGATCCAAAAGGCAAAATGTCCCCCTTTCCCATGAGCCATGTTAGCTCCAAGATCATCTTTTAATTTGGATTCCTATTAGGCAGTATTTATAGCTGTTACTGCTACAAGGTAACTCTATATCCCTCTATTATGAAAAGTGAGTTAAGGGCCCAGTCCAATGCCAGGTAGTCAGGAGGCAGATATTAGGAGGACCATTTCAGGTCAACCTGTACAAAAAACACAAGGCCCTACCTGAAAAACAACAAATCAGAAAAGGGCTGGCTCAAATAGTAGAGTGCCTCCTCAGCAAGCCAAAAGCCCTGAGTTTAATACTTACTACAACCAATAAAAGAAACATGAGTCAGAATTCTTTGCCCAACATCCTAGTTGTGTAAGTATACATGGCACTGGTACTTACTGAAAGATCAACCTCAACGATAGGTCCTGGTGTGTAAGTCAGGTGCAGGAAATGGAAGTGCAGAGAAGCTGAGTTTTAGGGTGGCATGTTATCACTTAGAGGGCCTCAGGTAGAAATGAGATGAGAAAGTTCCTCTCACTGGGGATGCCTGGCATGTCAGTCCTCAGTGTTATTGGAGTCTGGCAGAATAGATTTGGTAGAAGTCTCTGCAATAACCAAAGAGAGGACTTGAGACCTGCCTTTGGGACTTTGAGGGAAAAATGTGACCAAGATTGGCTGAATCTGATTTTAAAATAGGAAGCAATTGCTGAGTTGCTGATAAACAAAATCAGTAGTTTCTTCTTCCACCTTCAAATTAGAATGTTTGAAGATCTAAAACACTGCGCCTCAGACAGATGAGAAAGCACTACTCTTAGGAATAAGGACTCAAGGTGTTACTTGTGGGCTTGCTTCTTACATACAGAGTGACATTGTACAAGCTAACTGTATTCTCTGTGCTTTACTTTCTTCATATGTAAAATGACAATTCCTCTCCTACATATTTCTCAGGGGTTAGTGAAACTAAACTGAGATGAAAGTTAAAAAGTGCTTATTAAGAACATAAGTCAGGACTGGAGGCATGGCTCCAGAGTGCCTGTTTTGCAAACTGAAAGCCCTAAGTTCAAACTCCAGTCTTACTGAAAAAAAAAAAAAAGTAAGACAAGGGACTTGGGCTCATATTTTGTAAATAAATGAAGTTGAAATGATACAATGCTTTCAGAAAATGACATCCTACAACTCTGAATTAAAAACCAATAATATTTGCTTAACCATCATTGTGGTTTCCTGGGAAACAAGTAGCTTAAATACATGAAGGCAAACACCTCAGTGACTAATGAGCTCTGATAATCAACCTATTTTTATGAGAGCTGAATCAAATGGCATCCTAAGGATGGCAAGTCTAAGATTTCTATGAATAACTTTAAGAAAAAAATGTTTTTGTGTGATAATGGGAATTGGACTCAGGGCCTCTGATCTATCTCGCAAGCCATGCCCCTAGTCTTTTTGCTTTTAGTTTGTTTTTCAGGTAGGATCTCTCACTTTTGCCCAGCAAGCCTTGGACTATGATCCTCCTCCTTTTGCTTCCTGAGTAGCTGGTACCTCAGGCATCTGCCACCACACCTGGCTAATGAACAGCGTTTTAAAAGGGTTGAGAGAGAAGCCAGTGCCTGTTACAGTAAATATTCCAGAAAGAAGCCACTATTCCACATCCCGAGTGACTGCTTAGCTCAATCACATTTATGCAGATATGTTCAACCAAGGAGTAAGTTGAGTAAAACAGTTATGCCTTCTAAAATTGTTTTCTTCTGATTACAGCATTTTGTGGACAGAATTTGGAACACTCTTCTATTTAAAGGCTATAAAGCATTATTCATCAAATGAAGCCAACACTCAGTTCTTTACCAAATTACAGATCCCACACTGTAATACTGCTTGGAAGAAAGCTGCCTTTAGCTGTGTGCACAGCCATCATTAGCAACACCACCAACAACAGGTGTTGGCGAGGATGCGGGGAAAAAGGAACCCTCTTACACTGCTGGTAGGAATGTAAACTAGTACAACCTCTCTGGAAAAAAATTTGGAGGCTACTTAAAAAGCTAAACATTGATCTACTATTTGATCCAGCAATACCACTCTTGGGGATATACCCAAAAGACTGTGACACAGGTTACTCCTGAGGCACCTGCACACCCATGTTTATTGCGGCACTATTCACAAAATAGCCAACTTATGGAAACAGCCAAAATGCCCCACGACTGATGAATGGATTAAGAAAATGTGGTATCGATACACAATGGAATTTTATGCAGCCATGGAGAAGAACGAAATGTTATCATTCGCTGGTAAATGGATGGAATTGGAGAACATCATTCTGAGTGAGGTTAGCCTGGCCCAAAAGACCAAAACTCGTATGTTCTCACTCATATGTGGACATTAGATCAAGGGCAAACACAACAAGGGGATTGGACTTTGAGCACATGATAAAAGCGAGAGCACACAAGGGAGATATAAGGATAGGTAAGACACCTAAAAAACTAGCTAGCTTTTGTTGCTCTCAACGCAGAGAAACTAAAGCAGATACCTTAAAAGCAACTGAGGCCAATAGGAGAAGGGGATCAGGAACTAGAGAAAAGGTTAGATCAAAAAGAATTAACCTAGAAGGTAACACACATGCACAGGAAATTAATGTGAGTCAACTCCCTGTATAGCTATCCTTATCTCAACTAGCAAAAACACTTGTTCCCTCCTATTATTGCTTATACTCTCTCTACAACAAAATTAGAGATAAGGGCAAAATAGTTTCTGCAGGGTATTGAGGCGGTAGGGGGGAGAGGGAGGGGGCAGAATGGGTGGTAAGGGAGGGGGTGGGGGCAGGGGGGAGAAATGACCCAAACCTAGTATGCACATATGAATAATAAAACAATAAAAAAAAAAAACCCTTTCCAGCAGTAGATGAAACTTCCTACAGAATCCCCACCAGTTTCTTCACCTCCTGGAGCACAGGATATGCTATTTCTTTGGCTTTGGCAGATCCAACTCGTAAAACCTTCTCTAAGTAGTCTCTGTCTCTCTTGAGTTTTTCAATTTCACTCCTAATTGGTGCAAACTTCTCGATCACTGCGTTGGCCACCTTCAGCTTATAGCGGGCAGTGTCCAGGCCTGTGCTGCTGCGGACCACGTCCTCCACGGGGACTCCAGTGACCGCGGCATGGATGGCCACTAGATTGGAGACGCCAGCGCGGCGGCTTGGCTCATAGGTGACCTCCGAGGTGCAGTCTGTCACCGCCTTGCGGAACTTGTGCACTATGTCCTCAGGACTGTCTGTCACCCGGATGGTGGCCAGCTTGTCTGGGTCTGACTTAGACATTTTGACCGAGGGGTCACGGAGGGATTTCACCTTCTTCATTGGTGCTACCAATGCACACATGCCAAAAACAAACCAAAACAAACAAATCACCAAAAGTGTCACTGCATGAATCTCAAAATTACCAATACTAAGGAACTATTATTTTACAAACAACAAATGCTCATGGTGACAAATTCAAGCAACGTATATGAATAGGGAAATGAAGATCGTTTGAAATTATGTGATAACACTTCACATTTTTGACACTTTCAGGAATTGCCAATGTGTACATCAACAAAAATGCATAATCTGACTCAAGTGAAATTATGTCAGTCATACTGCTTTGGCTGCCACAACTGTCTAAAAAGTATTATTTCTTTCTTTCCTGTTTCTTTGTTCAAATCACCTCCCCTTAGCCCCCAACAAATCTTAACAATCTGTGGTAATCTTTCTGTTTCTTTCCCCAGGATTATGTGTTTACTTACACACACACACACACACACACACACACACACACACAGAGAGAGAGAGAGAGAAGTGGGTTTTTAAGTAGTCTGATGAAATCAGGATGTTAAACTGTGCTTCATAAATCACTGTTATTAATATTAATAATTGGCTATTTTATGGCTATTACAAAAACATATGAAATTGAAGTAGGTAAAATAATAATTGGTTGAAACATCAAAACCTTTACTTATTGCTAAAGGAGGGATAATTTCAATATATGGAGTGCCCTAAATTTATTTTTGTGAACCATTGGAATAACTTAGAAATTTATACCCAGTTTAAGTTTCTAAGTTTATGCTAGGCAGATACTATTCTTCACAATGCTGTCAGATTACCAAGGATGGACAGTGGAAATGATCTATGACCACTGTCCTTCTCACAGGTTTTCGGGCATCAGAAGAACTGACAGGACCAAGCTTTGCCAATTACCAGACATGAGACAGACAACATGAACCTGGCCAAATCTTAGTTTCCCAATCCATAAAATATGGTGGATAGTCCCTCTATCTAACAAAATATACTATTTTATACATGTTTATATTACATTATGTGATACTTTATAAATTAATCATTTTAGCCTTTCCCATACTTTTCAAACATTTTTAGTTATCTTTCCCAATAATCCAATATGCTCTACTATTCATATGTGACAGAAAATTTTCCTGAGCCAGTCCATGAGAAAGCCAAGTTTAGTCCCAAGGAAGTTCTAAGCTTCTGTCTATTATCCAGTCCTCTCTTCAAAATATTCCCTGATTTAACAATCATATGTTTGATACTTACTTAGAATGGACTTGGGCACTGGAAAGAATTCCCCATACTTCTTGTTGAAACCTTGTGCTAGATCCTGAACTAGTTCCATGTGCTGGACTTGATCCTCTCCAACAGGAACGTGTGTGGACCTTTAATAAAAGACAGACAGAAAACTCAGCAAGGCTCCTTCTTAGATGGAAACTATATTGCAAGCAGCTGCATTTCCTATGCCTATTTCACTGTTTGGTATTCAACAAATGTTTACCAACTACAGAGGGAATGCTGAAATCCACGTCTTTATCTGTGGAGAGATGTTTGTCTACTTCCGTTCTGTTTCTCCCATAGCAGAGGAATACAGCCATCAACATCAGCATGACAGGGCCTTGCTGGGAGGGAGGAAGGAGATCTTCAACAGCATATGCTCTGGGCATAATTGGGTCTTAAAACCACACCTTGTTCCTCACCCAGCCAGTGGATAGTCTCTCAGCCTTAATCAGATGCTTTTTGCCTCAGATCTGTGGCTTATACTTGAAAGATGTGCCATCCCACTCCGCAATCCAGAGATGGAAGAAAGCTCTTCAGGCAAGACTTCTTCCTCCCCATCACTGGAAGAAATATCTTTCTGGAATATGCTTTAATGTTTTCAAGTAAGTTGCAATCTCAGGTTATATGCCATAGGAAACGTAAATGAAAAAAATCTCTAAGTGCAATGCAGATGATCTCAAAAACAATGTGAAATGAAGAAAGCAAATTGCAGAAAGTATGTAGAAAATACTGACATTTATGCAAACTGGAAAGTACAAATGCAAATACTACATATTGTTTATAGAGGCACAGAAGACCTGCTGTCAAAAGTATAAAAACAGACTGAAGGTTGGGATGAAGCTCAGTGGTAGTGCACTTGTTTGGCATGTGTGAGGCTCTGTGTTGAATAACTAGCTCTACATAAAATAAAATTAAAAACAACCAAAGCATATGAGAAGCAGCTCCCTAAATTCATGATTGTAGCTTCTTATAGAGAAAGAAGGAAGGAAATTGGTCTAAGGAAAGAAACAAAGGAGGTCTCAATTTTATCTGTAATATTTTATTAAAAAATGAAAATATGAAACAAAACTACTCAAAACATAGGGCATCTATTCATAATGGTTTTACTCCCACATTTGAGGTTTGCAGTGTTGGATCCTGATAAGGAACATCAAATAAAGGAAGGATTAACTACTCTACAGTGGGAACACCTTGTACTGAAGAGTGACTGTGAGTGGTAACAGTTGATTTCAAATATCAGTGCTTGGCTGTGGTGGTTAGGCTTGATAAAAGCAGTAATAAGGGTGCCGACTCTCCCCACTCCTATTCAAGATAGTCCTGGAACTCCTAGCCGGAGCAATAAGGCAAGAAGAAGTAATAAAGAGAATACAGATAGGTAAAGAAGTCGTTAAAGTACCCATATTTGCAGATGACATGATCCTACACCTCGAAGACCCGAAAAACTCCACCCCAAAACTCCACGACACCATAAACAGCTTCAGCAGTGTAGCAGGATACAAAATCAACTTACAAAAATCAGTAGTCTTTCTATACGCCAACAATGAATTCATTCATTGAGAATGAATACAGGAAAATAATTCCATTTACACTGATCATTGAGCAATGTGTTGTCAGCCTCCAACTATTTGAGTATTTTCTGCTGCTGTTTTTGTGTTGAGTTCTAGTTTTATTGCACTGTGATCAGATAGAATGCAGGAGGTTATTTCTATTTTCTTATATTTGTTGAGGCTTACTTTGTGCCTTAAGATATGATCTATTTTGAAGAAAGTTCCATGAGCTGCTGAGAAGAATGTATACTGTGCTGTTGTTGGATGAAATATTCAGTAGACATCAGTTTAGTCCATTTGATCTATGGTGTGATTTAGTTCTAGAGTTTTTTTGTTGATTCTTTTGTTTGGAAGACCTATCTATTGGGACAGATTCCCACTACCACTGTGTTGGAATCTATATATGCTTTTAAGTCCTTTAGTGTATGTGATAAAATTGGGTGCACTGACATTGGGTGAATATAGGTTGATAATTGTTATTTCCTTTTGATGAACTGCCCCTTTTATTAGTATGAAGTGTTCTTCTTTGACCAATATAAGTGTGAAGTCTACTTTGTCTGATATAAGTATTGCTATTGCTACTCCTGCCTGTTTTGGGGGGCCATTGGCTTGGTGAATCTTCTTTCGCCTTTTGCCCTAAGCCAATGTTTATTTCTGTCAATAAGATGGGTATCTTGTAAACAACAGATTGTTGCATCTTCCTTTTTGATCCAGTTTGCCAAACAGTGTCTTTTGATGGGGGAGTAGAGTTTATTGATATTCAGCATTAATATTGATAGGTATGTTGCAATTCCTGCCATTTAGCTATTTTTGTTGTTTAAGGATTTGTGTGTGTGCAGCCAAATCAATGCTACTCTATGATTACATGTTTTTTCTTCTCTGTCATTTTCTACTTCCCATCCTCTCCTGGTTTTGCTTGCTTTCATCTTCTGTGTGCGAAATTCCTTGTAGAATCTTCTGTAGTGGTGGCTTTGTGGTCATATATTATTTTAGTTTCTATTTATCATGGAAGATTTTTATTGCTCCATCAATTTTGAATGATAGTTTTACTGGGTAGAGTATTCTACGGCTGAAATTATTTTCATTCAGTGCCTGAAATACCTCATTCCATGTCCTTTTCTGTTTTTAAGGTTTCCATTGAGAAATCTCCTATTGTTTTGATGGGTTTACCTTTATATGTTGTTTGTTTTTTCTCTCTTACAGCCTTCAATATTCTTTCTCTGTTCTCTGGGCTTGTTGTTTTAATGATAATATGCCACAGGGAGGATCCCTTTTGGTCAAGTCTATTTGGTGTCCTGGAGGCTTCCTGTACCTGAATGAGCAATACTTTCTAGAGAGTTGGGAAATTTTTTGTTATTATTTTATTGAATATGTTACCTATCCCTTTGGCTTACCCAAAGGGCTCCTCCTTCTTCAATTCCCATGATTCTCAGGTTTGGTCTTTTGATGGAGTCACTGAGTTCTTGCATATTCCTTTCACAGCTCTTGAGTTGTTTGATTAACATTTCTTCAGTTTATTTTTTAATTTCTATTTTATCTTTGAGTTCTGAGATTCTGTCTTCCACTTGTTCTATTCTGCTGGCGTGGCCTTCCACTGTGCTTTTCTGTTTGACTACAGGGATTTTGCCACGACTATTTTGAAGACTGCCAAGCATAATACTTGATAGTAAGAGCTCAATAAACACTAGATACTGGCATAATGTACTCACTAGCATATGACATGACGAGGGACAAAATGGTAAAAGAAGGATTCTATAAAGGATCTTGATATGAGGTACACTGTAACTTTTTTCATGTAACATCATTTTCCTTCTTGATAGCTGAATCACTCCACAAAATAGAACACAACAATAGAACAAAAATAGAACAATCAGTGCACAACGCCATAGTTGCTCACAAACCTGGCAGCCATCCTGATATGGGTACAAAACACGCTTGGAACTCATATCTGATCAGTTGAACCCAAGTATAAACTGTATGTTACAAGAATTCTGATAACTCTTAAAACATTATGATTTCCAAATAGTTCTTGACATTTTACAATGCATATATTGTTCTTTGATCATATTATCCCCCTCATTACCCTCATTGTACCCCATTCTCCTCCCACTGGTTCCCTTTCACTTTCCAAATAGTCTCCCTTCTACTTTCATGTCTTTTTGCTTAAATCTGGAAAACATGCAATACTTGTTTTTCTGAACCTGTCTTATTTTGCTTAATATGGTGATCTCCAGTTCCATTTATTTACTTGCAAATGAAATAATTTTGTTCTTTATGGCTGACTGATACTCCTCCATTGTGTGTCTACACCACATTTTCTTTATCTATTCATCTGTTGATGGGCACCTATGCTGATTCCATAGCTTGGCTACAGTAAATAGTGCTGCTATCAACATGAGTGTGTGGGGATTCAGTGTGCTGATTTTGATTCCTTCAGGTCTCTAGGAGTGGAATAGCAGGATCGTATGGCAGCTGCAAAGTCTTTAAATTTAAGGAAAACAGAGGTAGAACGATGAATGGAACAGCAAAAAGCAGGGACAAAGCCAGAGATGGGGAAGTGCTTTCTCCCCTATGGTCAGCTGAGGAGGAAACTCTAAGATGATTGTGAGGCCACTGCTCCACTTCCATTTTTCTTTTGCTTAGTTCCTTCTTGCATCCACTGCTGTCCTCCACACAGCTTGGAGCAGGCAGCTGGCTCAGTAAGTGGCTTGCACCCCTCATAGTTTGCACATTGTCATTTTGTACCCTCAGCACCCGGAATGAGCTCACAGTGCTCCTCTCCTAGGCCCCCATGCACATGCCCCACCTTTGTTGACTTCTCTTATTTGACTGGATTTTGTTACTCCCGTTTGGCAATTATAGTGAGGCCGGCAAGCAGAGGTCACCTTGGCTCCCCAAACCAAATTAGCCAACAGAGCAGGTTAAAAAGCAATTACAGTAGCCCATAGGAAATCACAATGGACTGCAACTAACACAGAAAAAACAATTACCATAATCAATACACTTTAAGCATATCAAAATGAATATTTCCACATGTCAAAATGGTTCCAGATTCACAAAGCAACCAAACTAAACAGAAAACACATTTAGTTTTCAAAATGACGCTGCATGCATCTTGCCTTATGTTGGATCCTTGCCTCTTTTCTTACAATTCTGTGGCATTTTGATTCTTTTAAAAAAGGATTAAAAAATTTTAATTTTTTTCACCTGCTTGTGTTGCTTCACGTGGCTTTTGCATCTGACTTTGGTTTGTTTGTTTCTGGTCCTTCCTCCCTCTGTGCCTCCTGCTCCTTTCACCTTCTATAATTTATCTTGGCCTTTACTTCTCATCCATTGAGTTTACACTTCACATTAATTCAGCCTGTCTTTGATTCCACTCACTTATGGGGCTTATTCTCTTCACGTTTTCAACCTCTCTCCTCATAGTCTCCCTTTCACTTCAAATAATTTAGTGCTGTTCTTTTAAAATTTATACCCAACCTAATGATATCCATATTAATACATCTGTTCTTTTTCTCCATTTTCTTTTTTGTTTTACTCTGACTGTGCTTTCTTAG